TGGTCTAGTGGAAGGTGTCCCTGCCCATGGCAAGGGGGTTGGAACTGGATGGTCTTTAAGGTCCCTTCCAACTCAAACCATTCCATGATTCTATGATATGCAAGCTTGGGATCTCTGTGTTGAAAGACCCGAGACCCCGGTAGCGAGGGGACAAGCAGGCACCTGTGCTTTAACAGCCTCATCCCGCTGGCGTGTCATCTCCTTAGGCTTCACACGTGGCTTTCTCAGTCTGGTCTTTTCTGGTTTCTCCAGCATTCTCCCCTTACAATTTAATTCCCTCTCTTCAGCATGTCCTTGAGACATTCTTCCTTGTGCCTACTCCTGGGTTTGGGCAGTCCTTACGCAAACCCTGTCTTCTCATTTACAGTTTCTAAATGGCTAGTTCACTCTGCAGGAAGTTCTTCCTGTTCAAGTGAAAATACAGACCTGTCCTTCCCCGCATCTTCTTGTGTACGTCTTAATGTCACATCAAACTCTACCTCCAAGCCTGCCACTGTTCAAAGAGCATCTGGATGACGCTCTTACTCAGACAGTTTAGTTTTAGATAGTCCTGTGAGGAGCAGGGAGTTGGAGCCGACGATCCTTATGGATCAAGATATTCTGTGATTAAAATTGATTTAATCTCCCTTTCCCAGCTCACCCTTATTTCTCAGTCTCTGGGTCCAACACCGTTATCACCCAACATCCCAGCCACGGGCCAGAGTTACCCTCTCCAGCTCTCCGTGGCCACGCGCGCAGCCTGCGTACCCACAATATTTCAGATCTGGTAGCCCTACTCTACGTTACCCCTGTATTAAGTACCTTACCACCTCTCACGCTTGCGGGGCATTCCCTACAAATACCAACACGGCAACCTCAGCATCCTTAAAACCGCTATCTTTTGGAACCCTCAAAGAAAGCCAAGAACATGAAACCTCTGATAAAAACACTGCGCACGAGGCTTCCCCGTAGTGCGCCCTGTCCCAGCACGGCCCCGTCTTCCCTCGCCCCGGAGAACTCACTATAATCCCCGAGGCTCAGCTCGCTGTTGCGTGAACACTGGAAGCGAACGTCGGGCTGGCAGGACTGCAGCTTCACGAAGAGGCCGCGCTTCGGAGCGCAGTGGAAGTAGTACGTGCCCAGCCATTCGCCAGCAGTGACTCCCTTATCTTCATCCTGGGAAAAACAAGCATTGAGGAATAACAGGAGAACAGGCTTTCCATGAATGAGCTGCGATCCCCCCCATGGCCATTTAATATCTTAAGAGCTGTGTACAAGTTCGGTCTCTTTTTGTTGGCTGTTTTCATTCATTCTGGTTAGTTTTGAACCTAGTGATGCTGCTTGTAGGATTCACAATTATTCCATCTCACATTTTGCTCTTGGAGAGCAAACAGAGCCTCGTCATCATGCTGCAGGCTCTCCTCCCCAGCCTAAGGCCGGGCCGAACTGCGTGCTTGCCTTCCCAGTTCACATTCTGACACACCTGAAGCCCAGGGCAAGCTGCGAGATACGCAACCGCAAGCTGAAGGTCTTCAAAGACTGGAGAAGAGCAACCAAGACCTGCCTATTCCCATTTAGTCTCACAACAGGAAATATTTTGCTTCTTACCAGTTCAACTCCTGCCATTTTGTGCTTAATTCGGGGCAGGTAGCCCAACCAGCGGATGATTCCCGAAACCTGGTTTCCTTTGTCCAAGGTGATCTGGACCATGGAGTTCACCTCCAGGGATGAATTCCCACTTTCAGACTCCTCACCGCTGTCGCTTATCTCTCGTTTCATTTGGTTTGGGTGTCCCAAGCCCATGTCAGACTCAAACGGTGAAAATACACCTAGTGGGCAATAAAAAAAAAAGTCAGGTGAGGCAGGAATCCAACACCTAATAACAGACACCTCTGGATCTCACCTAATACCAGGTCTGTGTTTTGAAATTATAGACCACAGGGACAAGTATGAAGCTGAGCATCAGAGATACAAAGTGCAATTCCCAGTGATACGGCCAAGCTGGTCTAACAGGCCAAGAGGGGACAACCCTGCTCCTCGTTTCCGTGCTCAAGGCTGCCCACTCCAGCCTCTCGCTGGTCCTGGAGCTAACCCAGCCCGTCCCAGAGCCATTTCAGATGACTGAAAAGGGAGAAGGGGCGTTATTTCCTAATTATTTTTCTGCCTTTAGGGAGATGAATCAGATCAGCAAAGAGGGCTACCCTCGGGCTGGCCCTGACAGCTGCACAGTGTCTTCTGATGGCAACAGAGTGATTCCACTAATTTCTTGTCTTGTCCAACAACTCATACCATCGCTGCTGACATCTCTGCCTTTCTGAGTTTGTCTGGCATCAGGATAAGGCTCCTGCTCCACCTTCTACAGCTGAATTAAAGACTCTTTGGCCAGTAGTGCCTTCTACCCTAGGAAATACGTGCTGCAATCACTCTCTCCTCTTCGCCCTGATAAATGGGGAGACTCAGCTTTAGTTGGCTAATGCAAAGAACCAGAACACGAGACTTTTCTATGGACATTCTCTGCCTCCTGAGCAATTGAGTTGGGACTAACTGAAGCTTTTGCTGGACTTTCAGCTCATCCGTACCCCGCAGGGAAGAAATAAACGCTAAACCCCCAGGAACGTCCACAGGGCAGACCCATCTGGTGATCACCTACTTTGCAAACTTTCCTTCACAACAGAGTCCATAGGGATTTCTCGGAAAAAATCAGTTGTTCCTTCTTCTTCCTGAATGGAGAGAAAAATCTTTCAGCTAAATGCTTTATTAGACATAGGGCCTTCCTGGAATATCAACCACTTTTTCATACATGCCTGGAAAAGTTTGCACGTAACCTCATGTGCCTTTTGGACATTCCTTTTACTTCTCTTTAAGACCCCACAATAATACAGTTTAAAAGACCAATGCAAACAAGCCAAAACCCAAGAAAAGGCACCAAGGTTGCTCTTACCGGACAAACTTTAACGAACCACTGGGTTCCCTCTCTATAAACTGCCATCGCTATTCCTTTTGTGAGGACCTCGTCCACGTAGAAGTTAACCGCATCTCCAACTTTCACAGGAACTCCCTCTTCCGTGTCTGGTTTTGGCTTCTGTTTCACACAGTCGTTGCCCAGTGTGGGAGCAAACTGGATTCTGCTAAGCGGCAGGAAGATCCCGCAGTTCCGCTTGCACTTGAAATACTCAGTGCCGTGGTAAGATCCATCGCTGCGCCCTCTGTTTTCACCCTCGCCCTGAAAACGCAGCAGAAAGGTATGTTACACACACAAACATCATGGGACAATAAGCAATGGACTTCATTAACCACTTTACCTGTAACTCCACCCCGAAGAAGAACGGAGACAGCACAGCCGAAGCGTTTTTGTAAATGCTCCCGATGTAGCGGATGACGCCAGGGAAATATTGCCGGTCAACCTCCACCGTCACCTTTTGGCCTGGCACGGCCCGCAGAGCTGCATCAAGGCTCAGTCTCCCCAAGAAGCAGTCCAAGCGTTCGTTATGGCTGCTGATGGCCAGGAGGAAAACGGCTGCCTCCTCGCGCACAGGCTGAAGGATTTCTACGTTTACCGTGACGGTGGAGCTGTCATCCAGCATGATGACTTTCAAGAAGCAAGTCGGGGGCCTGTCATCGGCGTAGTTACGCAGGTAAGTTCTCTCGCTGCAGAAGCACATGTTCCCAGCTTGGAAGTACTTGCTTCCATAGGCACAGTCTTCTGTCAGGATGTAATAGCAGTTTGCGTCCCCGGCTGAAGGCAGGAGGTTGGTCATCGTCATTCCCCTGGGCTGTGAGAGAGAGTCACACCAGGGAAGATACGAGCACGTTATCGAAGGATCTCAGAAGAATTCAGGTTGGAAGAGGCCTCGGGCCCAACCCTGCACTCAAAGCGGGTTGCTCAAAGCCTCACCCAGCTGAGTTTTGAGCAGCTCCAGCCACAGAGTTCCCACGGCCTCCCTGGTCCCTTGTTCCAGTGTTTGATCCACCTCATGGGTGAAAAAATGCCAATCTAATCAAGGTTTCCCACATTTCACCCATCGCCTCGTGTCCCCTCGGTGTGCAGCCACGGAACGAGCCTGGCTCCGGCTGCTCTACTAAACCCTCCCAGAAGTTGCAGAGAGCAGCGTCTCGTCTGTCCTTCTCTCTACAACACTGTTCAGCCAGAACAGCCTTGTTAAATTCCACCTCCTGCTTTCTTCTCATACTTCCTTCAGGAGTGGGGCAAAGGCTGAATTCTGCTAAATTCTGCTAAATCCTCTAAAAAGGGAGTTCTGGTCTGCCACTACAGCCCTTTGATGTTGTGGTAAAGCACATTAATATTCAAAACCTACACAAAGCACGGCCCTTACTCATGACTGTGCTGAGAGACGAAAGATCAGAGTCTTTCAAAATAAACACATTAAAAGAAATTCCAATATCCAGAATCAGCAATACATTTTTGTGCTTAAATTCTAGCTAAATTCTCATGCAATTTACCCCTCTGCATCTCAATTCTGATGATACCAGGGACTCAGACTTTTTGTTACAACATTAAAAAAGAGGGTGAATATAGAAACTTCCTTCTGCAGGTGAACAGAACTGGTTGGATCAACCTGGCCAATATAGAGAAAATAAGAGACGTGCCCATTTCCAGGTCATGGAGGAAATTAAGGAAGGAAAAAAAAGATGTCCCTGCTCCAGGCCACCTGGTAGAAGTTTCTCAAAAGTTTGAAACAGAGAGAGGAGGAATTGAGAAGATGCAATTAAGGGAAGTAGAAACACACCCGGGACGTTTGTGGCAGGAAGCATGAATGCAGCTGCTCACAAGAATAATAAACGGGTGGGTTGGGAGGAGAACGTAGGCAGAGCTCGAACACAGAGGCCACACAGAGCTCAGCAAGGAGGAGGGCAGTGTTACTGGGGACTTTACTGGAGGTTAATATCAAAAGAGCTCATTTTCTAAAGCACTGGGAAAAGATAAATCACTGCTTGTGCTGGGAAAACCCTATAAATCACCCGATGCCTCATCAGATCCTGGAGCTGTCTTTGTGTTTGGGCAGCTTCCTCCACGAGCCGTCTCCCCTTCACTCTTATTTTTTACGTTCGATGGGCAGGAAGACGGCTCAGAGACCTGATCCAAAAGCTGCTGTACTGCTTTTGGGCAACACTTGTTTTCTGCGGCTGAAGGCCTGGCCTCAGAATGGAATAACCCCCCAGAAAACCGTGGGTCTCCTCAAGTAGCATCCACTTGGGTCTGCCAACGTGGCTAATTTAACATGGGCAGCCAGCAACTCAAGAACTGAGGGCGGCAGTTCCCTTGATTCCCATCCACACAATTCACTGCTGACATTTTATAATTCTGCTGGTGGAGAAAAGGCTTGAAATTCTCTGATTTTTAAAGGCTGGAATTAAAGAATAACAGTCTGTGTCCCAAAACCCTTCTATTCTTAAGTCACAGAATGGTTTGAGTGGGAAGGGACCTTAAAGATCACCCAGTCCCACCCCCCTGCCACGGGCAGGGACATCTTTCACTAGACCAGGTTGCTCCAAGCCTCATCCAGCCTGGCCTTGGGCACTTCCAGGAATGGGGCATTTATCCTCTATTTTCAGAACCTTGGTTTTATTTTACCTTTTTATTTTGAGTTCTCCCCCCACAGGGAATACATTAAACTCCGCCGTGCTTTAAAAGCTGCCAAACGAGGAAAACCAGCATAAACACCTTCATCAAAAACCAAGGATAAACCCATTTTCCTCATCAAAAACTATGAAGAAACATTTTTCCTCATCAAAACCCAAGAATAAACCAACTCTTTAACAAGGGAATATTTGCAATTCTCTCCCAGGTGAATAAAAATAAAAGCGCATCCAGGCCAACGTGCGATGTTTGGGCTTGGGGTGTTTTAAACGGCACTGAAACCTGATGTCTGACGCTGAGGGAACCTGGAAAGCGCAGGATAATTAAAAATAAAGCGAAATGAAAGCGTTAAGTGGAGGCTGGGCTGGAGGAGGGCTCTCCAGGGGTCTGTCCCTGAGGGAGTGGGCGGCAGAACACAGGGCTGAGAGGGCCCCACAGGGGATGAGGGGAGCCAGGGACTGTGGGGCGACGGCTGGAGAGAGGAGGTCGCAAGGAAAAGCCGGGGAGGGGAAGGAGGGTTCCCAACGCGGCCTCCCCCGACCCCCT